ATTATCAGAGGAGAGAATAGAGAAGGGGTCAGAGAAGGTCTCAGACAAAGTGGGAGGGAGCTGGGTCACAGCAGCATGACAGAGCATATCGCTTTGGTCTGCCTGTGGGATTCTCCCCAGATGAAGTCACAATTACCACATGGAATATTAACATGCTGGGAAAGCCATCTGTAGAACCCCCATCTGACTAGGAATGAGGACACAGGGAAAAAAAGACAACACAGTTGCTTTACAGTTGCTCTGACTTAACCTGTGATCAAAACTCCATTAGGGGCTTACATTTAATAACTTTAAAGTAAAATTACTTATTTGAAGTAGTTTACAAAATATGCCCAGTGAATAATATATGTACTTTACTCCAACAAAGATAATCATGTGGTTGCTAATTATACTTTGTCTGCATACTTGAAAGCCAGAGATAAATGTGCAGCTTGATACACACACACACACACACACACACATTCATTCATAAATTCCAGCATTTTTTTTAAGGAAAGATTTTCCTCCTCCATCTTCCCACATTGTCTTTCTAGGAGTAAAACAGCGGAGTCTATGACAGCACACAAATTACATGGCGTGTATTCCATGCTCCTCTCAAGATTACTTGATCATTGATCATTCACGGCAAATACTATTGGAAAAACTTTTGCTTTTTCTTAAGGGACTGGAATTGACATTGCATTTGCCTCCTGATGTGTTATGCTTAAGCTTCATATTTGGACAGAGCCCATTCATAGAATGACTATTATGCAAACTATGCTGACTGCATTAAAAACATTTAAGTATTGAAGTCAAACATTGCTTGATTGGGACCAAGTTCTTGCTTCAGTGTGACAATGGATCTGTTCATTTGACAATTCATAACTAACCATTGCTGTATAAACAATCACAGGATGTTACAGAAGTCTATCTTATTAAAGGGTAAGCATACATAATCAGAAATCTGGTGAGGAAAGGGAATGGTAAGATTTCCCCTGCATTTATCTACTTATAATAGGTGTTTTGACACCATCCTCCTATTCTCCAGAGGGACTTACATTGCAAGACAATGCAGACAAACCAACTAACCAAATGCTTATATCTACATCGGGATGTTATACTTGATAATATGAATTAATTTCAGATAAAAGTAAATAACGATCCAAAAAATTGGGGAGTTCTAACTATACCGATCACACACATAACTACTTGCAAATAAGTCAATGGCCGTTATTTTCTTTCCAGGGAAGTGGTATAGATACAATTTTAGTCGTCCGTATTTCTTCCAACTTTACAGGTAAGGATATTCCCTCTTATAGATGTCACCTTGGAAGATAAAATTTAACAGCCAAGAGAGTTTGAGAAGCCAAGAGAGGGCAAAACAATAACAGTAGGCTGTAATCAGGCCTGAAAAAGCATAAGGGTGTACATCCAGAGTGACCAGAGATTTACTGATAACAGCTTAGTAAAGAAAAGAGAAGCTATATTGTCCTACCAAGAGATATTTCTTGCTTTCTCAGAATGACTAGGCAACTATAGGCACCACTGATGGTGAATAGGTCACCCTCTGGTTGTTTTCTGGTGCTACCTGCCCCTGCAGGTAGGCAGGACCTGTTTGATCAGCCTGCCCCAGGCAGCTGATGGACTCTGTCGGGTTCCAGAGGGAGCTTGCAGTTTTCCCTAAGGATCTGGTGGGCAACTTGGCCTTGGTTGCACCCTGGAATAGATGAACATCTGAAGTCTTGGACTGGATTGCTCCTCTCTGTGCCAGTCCTGGGTGCACCTTGGTTTTCTGAGGAGCTCCAAGAGATAAAGGCAAAGAGTGAATCCAACCAGAGTAAGAGCCCATTTTTGGGCCTTTGTCATAGTGGCAAGGGCAGTGAAATGTTGCTATTTCTCCACCTTATTGCATCTTTTGATAGCTACCCTGTAGCCCTGTTTAGGGTGACCCATTCACTGCTGGGGAGGGATAGGCCACAGGACCATCTACAGGGCCACAGTGAGGAATATTCATGCTATCTGGCAAAAAGTCACTCACATTCACTTGGAGATGGACTCTGACAGGGCAGGTCCAAGTGAGTTGCCTGGGGCAATGTAGAGAGAAAAGGAGATGACCTTGACAGAGAGACAGAAAATCTTTTATCAAGACATCATCAAATAAACACTACAGGAGCCCAGATGAGGGGGGAGCAGTCTCAAAGTGTCTCAGACAACCCCCAAAGTCACATGAAGATAAAAGAGAGAGGGACAGAAGCACATTCAGACTTGCAAGATTCTGTTTAGCCAATCTTAATAAAAGTAGTTTTTGGCACAAGTTTGAAGTCTTGTGATGTTATCTGGACTGAGTTTGATTCTGTGAGTCCCAATGAAGTGGACAAGATCCTCCAAACTGTAAGTTCAGGCACCTGTCTGTTAGATCCAGGCCCCACCTTGATTGTTAAGGTGGCCTGGGAGGTGACCCAAGGGCGGGTCTATGCGAAGGTATCAACCTCTTTGAGGAAGGAGGTAGTCCTCCTGGCCTTGAAGGAGGTGGTGGTGTACTCTCTTCTCAAGGGGTTGTCACTGGGCCTTTATGTTCTGGGCAGTTATTGTCCAGTTTCCAACCTTTTCTTTGTACTGGTCAGACAGCAGTTGTAGAGGGTCTTAGAGGAGGCAGATTATCTGGGCCCATTTCAGTCAGGTTTCAGGTCAGGATATAATACAAAGACAAGCACTGGTCTTGCTTGTCAACAACTTGTGGCAGGGCTGGGATGGTGGTGGTGTACCCATCCTTGTACTCCTTGATCCCTCAGCAATTTTTGATATCATCAACCACAATTTCCTTCTGAACTGGCTGCAGGGGTTGGGAGTGGGGGACACTGTGCTGCAGTGGCTCACCACTGTCCTCGGTGGTTGGTTCCAAAGTGTTGATAGGAGTGGAGATTAGCACCCATGGTGTCCAGGGTTCAATTCTCTCACCCCTCCTGTTTAACATCTACTTGAAATGGCTGGATGAAGTTATCTGTTAATTTCAGGTTCAGTATCACCAATGATGATACCCAGTTGTACATCTCAACCCCAGACTGCTTAGGTGACTCTGTCAATGTATTGACCCAGGGTCTAGAGGCTGTTTGGGTCTGGATGGGAAGAAGAGACTTTGACTCAATCTTGACAAAACTGAGTGGTAGCTGTTTGGGCTCCCTGGATCGGAGATGTTTTCACCTTTGATCTTGGACGGGATTGCATTGTCCCACTTGAGATGGTTGAAGTTCTTCATGAAACTCGTTTGCATCCACTAGGGCCTAGGCCTGTAATTTTTACTCTGGAGGATATTTGCTTACTAGAACTAGGTGTGCCTTTGAGGTACTCAAATCAATTTTTTATTGAAATGTATGATCAGATACATCCATGGGATTAATCTGGGAGTAGCTGTAAATAGAAAAGAACAGACTTTGCCAATTCATTAGTACCATTATAATTTATGGTATTTCCATTCCAACTCTCTCTTCTTTCACAAAAGCTACTAGAAGATCTCTTGCTGTATACATTTGGTTATATAAATTTGATAGATAGATAGATAGATAGATAGATAGATAGATAGATAGATAGATAGATAGATAGATAGATGATGGATGGATAGATAGGATAGATACATACATATATACATACATACATACATAGATGAGAGAGAGAGAGACAAATCCCTTTTTGTAACAACTTGCTGGAGGAGCTAATGTTATGAAGGCTATTGGAACTGCTGCAATCCTATGCATACAGTAGTTTGCCTATGAGAAATCTCAGTTAAGTATGGTAGAAATAGCTTTTGAATAAATGTGCATAGAATTGGGCGAGCAAAATATCTCAAGCATTATTCATTCTACAACCTTTTTATTCTATAGGATAAAAAGTTATATGAGAACCACACTTCCATGTTACTCACAGATCTACACTGGTCAAGTATCTACTTTGTATTGCAACTTCTACATTACATGGATTGGGGAATCTGCCAAGGGCTATTATTAATAGGACAGTGTGCTGCTTCAGACTCCATTTCAAAAAGGTGCTTTGGGGCACACAGGGATATAAGCATAGTGCTTCTCTGCAGCTTTCTTCCCAGGTTCATGAGAAGATGCAGCGGGGAGCCGCACAATTGCACCTTTTTGAAACAGAGTCCAAAGTAGCGCACAACTGTTATAATTAAGCCCAATTGTATAAATGAGTGTGATTTGGAAATATGTAAATTATATCTGTGGGTGGATGGGTGTGCACATACACACTATGAAGCCTAGCCTGCTGAAATTCTCATTTGTTGGATAACTCTCATCTGCACTTAGGCTGTACTTTGGGGGCCACTAATAAATATCACCATAGTTTTTTATAAATCAGAGTATTCTCGGGCCACTTTCTTTGGATGCAAATTTATGAATGAAAACAATAAGAGCAATTCAGGCTGCTTTTTCAGAACTGGAGCTGCAGGTCCTCTCTAGCCAGTGCTTCTGATAGACAGACTTCACCTTTGTTCTCTGCTTGTTTTTCCATACTTAAGTAAATATTTCCAAGTTTCACACTATGTTCATGTGTGTATTTGTGTGTGTGTGTGTGTGTATATGTGTATGTATGCAGTCACCTTTTAGGGAAAGGTGCTTCAGCAGCCACTCCTGGCAGTGGAAATGATGTGGCTTCTGCCAAGCTCTGTCAACTCTGATTTGTGTTAGGAGTCTAGCATTCCTTGGTGCTTCCTATCATCTCCCTGAGTTCAAAGAGCCCTTAGTTGCTTGTCTTTGTCAAAAACCCTGTAGGAGATCTTTTATGTCGAAGATGTAGGATTTCTCCTCATGACTTTGATTATTTATTCATTCCACTTCTCTGGTGTACTCTAGGGCTGCTATCACTAAGACCCCTTGTCTGCCTCCACACTTGCTCTAAAATGCATGGAGCTTTACTGCCTTTGAAACGATGGGTTTAAAAAAATAAAATAAGATACAGTGAAGAAGTGTGCTTTTTTTTTTTTGAAGTTCTTTTTCTCTTTTTCCCATCCACAGTTCCACAGCATATTTTTCCAGCCTTCCATTCTCCTTTGCCAATTGACATGCGTCACCAAGAAGGAAGATACCATTATGAACCTCACTCTCTTCATGCAATTCATGGGTAAGTCTTGCAAGTTCACTTTGATATCATAGCCTTTCTTTCTTGCATTTTATGATGGAGAGAAGAAATATGGCTGCCATGGCTTGGCTGCCTTCCCCAACAGAAAGGCTAAAAGGGTTTCTCAACAGCCTTGGGCTGAACTTCTGGAGATTATGAAAGCTGTACCGTAGTGCAGCATCTCTAATGGGCAAGTAAGGGGAAGACTGTGCTAATATAGCAAGCAAGGTGTTTGTTTTCCGTGACCAACTCATTGTATTCCTGGCTTCACCAAAATCTATTATGATTTTCTCTGTTTATATTTCCTAACCTGAGTGTCTCTGAGATTTGAAAGCATTGCATTATATAAATCAAAGGGATATGTATTATAATATATCATCTATCATTCAGATATGTAAATTATTCCATTGCTGATCATCTGTGTGATCATTAGATGGGAGATCACATCACAGTATCTGAGTGCATTGATTCATAATCCAGCATTCTATTCCTTTCTGTTGCAGAAGTGAATATGGGTCTTATCTGGTTAGAACTCAGTGGCTGGGGCTGGTGTCACAGGAATGTCAGTGAACCAGCGAATGTCAGACTTCTTATCGGCTTGTTCTTTCTAGTAACTAGCATAAATTGAATAATTTATAGATATGCAAATCTATGCAAATGAGCCAGTGTGCTATAGTGAATTTAAAAGTTCCATGTAGGTGGATACATCAGTGATGTTCACTGCAATAAAGAGCAAAATATATATCTGTGAGCAAGAGATTATCCCATGGCATATGATTCCACTGAACATGGATTATTTGGTGTGCTATTGTGACTAGAAGCAGGAGTTCCCTCTGCTAATACATGAACATTCTGCACTTACATAATCCACATTATGCATCTGGAAAGATGAATTCTGTGACTTGTAAAAATTGTGCACACAAAGTATATGTGCATATTTAGTTCTCCTGTGAATGGTCCATTCTCTGGGCATAGAAGGATTGATTCTTTAAAAACCATTTTGCATACTTTATTCTGGATTGCCCAGGCAAGTGAGTGATGAGTGGAGGACACTGGGAATGAAGGTTCGCCTTCAGCCACCGGAAATATTAGTCTTTCTGTCTTTGAGATTTTAACCAATATTGCTTTCAAGCACACTTTTGAAGCCATACAGTCTACAGACTGAACAACAACAACAAATAATTGAGATCCTCAATTATCTGAGCATGTACCTAGCATCATAATGTAGCTTATTTTTCTGTACTGCACAATATACTTGCCATACAGATGAACACGTTTGCTCTTTCTACTCCAGTCAATTCTAGATTAGAACCGCCATTCATCAATATTGCAAGCCTTCTTCAATGTCTCAGAGGCACGCCAGCCTTTCCGATGAATTTGTATTTCTGAGTCTTTCTCACTGGCTAGTGATAGAGAAGGATTTGTTGTAAAGCAACACAAGACTTTGGAGAGAAAGAAAACATCTCTCAAGAGAGGCATCAAGGGGCTCCTTAGCTTCTTCCAAATCTTGCAGCAGTCGGGGGCGGGGGGAGCCCTCTTTTCATCACAGCATAATGAAGAGCTGCACAGCTGAGGGGGTTTCCTCCCCCTTTCTCTTCTGGAATGCTGTTTCCGGATATTCCCCTTTTTTGAGGAGAGGAACTGCTGTGAGGATGAAGGCAGTCTGAAGGCCTGACAGCTGGGCAATTTCATGCAATGAGGAGCTGTGGAGGTCTTTGAAAAGGGTACTAACTGCTTCATTGTTGCACAGAAATACCAGGCACAGTGCCTGGGACAGAATGTGCTTCTCTGGCTGCTCAGAGTATCCCTTGGTGGATTTATCACAGCCTAGCAAGCTTGTTGATTACTGCAGCAAAATGTCCCATCATACCGAGGGGGTTCATTAATAAAACCTGAGTGGTATTATTGCACATGAGACAGCAGCCAGAATGCTATGAACTTTTAATTTTTTTGAAGGAAAAGGGGGCACCCAGTATCGGGGAATGTTTCTTTCTATACAAATGAAGCATCTAGCAGTTTCTAGTCTAGAAGAGCTCTAAATTACATCTTTGTGAGCCTCAAAAGTAATCTCTATGGAGTTAATTGGGATTTACCTGAGAACAAGTCTGCCTCTAAGTCCTTGTCCTCTGAGAATTCTTCTGAATATGATGGGCTCATCCTATGAACAGAATGGAAGCATCCAGAGTATCCAGGTGAAATCTGCAACTCCCCTGCAGGTGGACCAAAAACAAGTCTCCTGTTTTTACATCTCTAGAGAAATATATCATTATACAAAGAATTACAAATCAGAAATTAATATGAAGCAGCACAAATATGTACAATGGTGTAGGTATTGCACTTTGAAAGAAATGCTAGGAACCTCTAATAGCTTTGTTGCTGTTGTTGTTGTTCCTTCTTTGCTGCTCATTTATCCCAGAAATTCACAGGATTCACTGAATAATTTTATTAGATGGGAATCTAGTTAATCCATGATTGCCACTGAGACCAATCGTCCTCAAATGCACCATAAATCAGCCAGTTGTCTATCACATATTATCTTACTAAGCAGCTAAGACTCTAAGATCTTTAGAGATCTGTTTAGGTCAGTGACATATAATGCTACTAACTTCCAGCCTCTAAACCCTCAATGCCCCACAAGGGTTGTTGTACTCTTTGCTAATACCTGGTTTGGTTAAAAGGATGAAGGCATCAACATAGGCCAGCTCATCTAGTAGAATTCCTCTCCCTGATTGAAATGTGCATGTTTAACCGGATTTATTATTTAGACATAAAGTTGCAGCCAAATAAAATAAAATGTTGTTTTTAACTGTTTAAAAAAGTGACATCAACATTTTCAGTTTACTTTGGTACTGGAAGGCCCATAGCAAAAAGCTGTTAGAAATCAGAGGCCTTTTCTGTCTCCTTGGCAGAAAATGCAGTGTGGAAGTCAGAGAGCATGGCTTTCATTGATTCCAGACTGAACACAACTTAAGAACAGGCTTGCCTGTGTGCTTATAGAAAACCTTGGCCAAGTGCGAGCCGGAATGCACCCTGTAGATGCAAACTGATAGGACAACAGGTCAGGAATAGAAATGTGAATGTGGAAGAATTCCATCGTGGGTCCTTCTGCCCCAGAAGAATCCATGGTAAGAGGAGCACCAATAAAATGAATCTGATTGGCTTCCTTCTTCCCCTAAAAAAAAATCTGTGAGGGAGCCCTGGGCAGCTGGACTTGTTTTATTAGTATTCCCTTATTTTTTTAAACAAAACATTAAATCTTTGCTACATGACAGTTATATTTATTTTGACATTGGAACTATTGGCCTATCATATTAAGCAATTGAAGGATATTCTGGGCATAAAATTAGAAGTGTGGTAGGAATTGAAGCTCACTTCAGATGTTTATGCCTTTTAATAAAATGTGTTTGTATGGAAAAGCACTACCAGGCTTTTTCTGTTTTTTGGCTTTTTGGCTACCATAGATTAACATGGCTCTCCTCCTATCTGGGCATAAAAGTGGCTGAACACAACCTGCTGTTATATGCTGATGATACAATATCATCTTCAAATAATTATTGTAAAAAAAATCTTTATTTGTAAATATTTCAAATTGTTTTCTCAGATTAATATTGATATTAATAGATGGTTAATCTCAGTGAGTTTAGGAGTATAAATAGCTGTTGGAAAAATGAGTATCTGTTCAAGAGTGATACATGAACCTAGAGGGATTCCTGTGTAAAGACCGTTCAGGTATTTCAAACAGACTGGTAAGTTAAGAAAGTTGCAGTATTTTAATCAAAGTCTTCTAGATAGTATTAGAGGAATTTCAGTCCTCTATTGGTACATCTGCAGGCAAGGTTCAATAAGCTATCCATTTAGGTTGAAAGTTTTTGGGGAAAAAAAACTGAATAAACTTACACAACAATTTTGGTAATTAATTTATTGTGGCTTTACTGTCTCATTTCCCACGTTTTTAAAAAATGGTGTAACATAAGAAATTAATTCAAATGTTTTGATCACTCCAGCTATACTGTATCAAAATCAAAAGACTAAAAAATGAGAATGCAAGTTTCTTTGGCTTAGTGGTATTTTAAAATGTGGAAACAGCATTGGCTGTTAAATTAATACAAAGGATCTTGAAGAAACTTTTAGTTAAAGATTGGTTATTCACATTCACAATTCACGTTCAGAATTTTTTTTATTATCAGTAAGTAAGTCTTAATAGTAACCAATTCAAAGGAAGTCAAAGGAAATTGGAAGGAGTATACTGAAACACTATACAATACAGCTGTCAACATCCAAGATACCTTAGAAGAAGATGTTCCTTACTTGCAAGAACCTCTAGTACTAGAAGATGAAGTTAGATCAGTACTCCAGTCATTACCAAGTCGGAAGGCTGCAGGAACTGATGGAAGACCCATTGAAATATGCCAAGCAACAAGTCAACAATTTAGAACAAGTCAAAGTTCTAACTAAATTATGCCAGCAAATCTGGAGAACGACACAGTGGCCAACTGATTGGAAGAGGTCAATCTACATTCCAAAACCAAAAAAGGAGACTTAACAGAGTGTGCAGATTATTGTACAATAGCCTTAATTTCACATGCTAGCAAAGTAATGCTTAGGATCATCTAATGCAGGTTAGAGTTCTGTGTGGAAAAAGAGATACCAGATGTTCAAGCTGCCTTTAAAGAAGGCCGAAGAATATGAGACAATATTGCTCATGCACACTGAGAAAGACAAAGAATACCAACAAGAAGACAGTATGTGTTTCATCGATTATAGAAAAGCCTTCAATTGTGTTGATCATGTCAAACTGTGGAAAGTGCTCAGAAAAACAGGAATCCCAGAACATCTCATTCTCCTCATGAGAAACTTATATACAGGTCAGGAAACCACAGTACAGACAGAATATGGTGAAACAGACTGGCTCCAGGTTGGTAAAGGAGTGTGACAAGGCTGCATACTCTCCCCTTGTTTATTCCACCTATATGTGTGTGTGGAATATATATTAAGGGAAGCTG